TAGTTAAGGTGGAGACAAGTTCAAAAGCTAAAAGTTCAAGATTCAAAGTTCTTTATTTTTCATAAAATCTACAGTCATCATTGGGAATCTTGTGCAAGGTTCTCTCAGTCAACAGTTAACCAGAGGGGAAAATATTTAAAAATGTAGAACAAAATATACAAAACGAAGACATCACTTTCTGTAGGCAGCCACAAATGTGCTGACTTCAGTTTTGGCCAGACCGTTCTTGGTCCATGTCAAAACACTTTGTTGTGAACAGTGAAACTGGTTTTCCTACATTTCTTACCTCAGAATCGGCTTGAGATTCAGATTTTCTTGGGTTGCTGTATAGCATCATAACGAGTTTCCTTTCATTTGAGGAGGCAGATAGTTGCAAATTAGACAGTTTTGGGTATTCAGATAGGAAAAGTATCCAAAAAATACATAAAAACTAATTTTGAAAGGCTCATTATTACCTTTTGTTTGCTTCAAAAAGTGAGTTCTTGAGGCAAATCTTTATCCAACTATTAACGGGTAGCCTGTCATTTAAGCCTGTCAGTCATGAAAAGGAACCTGACATTAAGCAAAACATATAGATCCACTTCTTGCCAAGTGCTACTTTGATAAATAGGCCATTAAAATGGACACTTTGTTTTGATGATTAACTCGATGTGCAGTATGTACTGTACCACAAAGATTTGTCAGTATTATGTCACCCCTCAGCCACACAATGTAGCCCGTCCATATGTTGGGTTTGGTCATTTTTGCTCCACCGCTGGGTTTTCCTTTCATGTTCATCTGTTGTTGTGAGATGTGGGCGGCTCTCGGCTTCTTTCCAAACCAGCCAACGCTTAAGAAGAGTAATGACATTTTGGTTTTAATGCCAAATGAGTTGACCAACCTCCCCTTTTTCCACCCTTTGTGGTGAGCCTGATGTGCCACAGGTGAAATAAGAGCACTTTTAATTAGTTGTAGTTTTACAGTAAATTCTTTGGCTTTCCTCCAGGAGGCAGAGAGCTTGTTTTGTGCCAAAAACGGCCTCCGTACCACCTCCAGCTTCCAGCAGAAGTCAACCAGTCCTCCCACACTGTGCTTTGTCTTAAAGGGAGAAAAAAAATGTGACTGTATCAAGCAAAGCCGGCATCTTTTGTCTTCATATAATATAAAATAAAATTCAAAATGAATCAAATGTATGCATTTAGGAAGTTAGGGCATTTTGTTTCCTATAATCATCCCCACATTTCTAAGTAATAAAAAATTAATCTCCCCTTTATCAGACGGTTGTCAATATTTGGATAGCTCTCTGCTTTCCACTGCCTTTCCAGGCGCTTCCTCCGGCGGCTCCTAACCCTCCCTCCTGGCTGACGTAGAGAGGATCCTTCGCTGCCCACGGCAGTGGGCGACGCGCCGGCCGCGGGTATAAAAAGCTTCCCGGGAATCCAGAACGTCACTGCCAGAAGCCGCAGTGACTCGGTCACCAGAGCTGAACCGCAGCAGAGATAGCAGTAAGCAGGCACTTCCACGCCGCGCAGGCTAACTCGCTTTCGGCTTTGGTTCGAGATGGAGACCCGTAGGACCGTGAGGAGCTCCAGCGCTCACAACTTCAAGAGTAAGTTGCTCTGCAGGAGGAGGATGTTAACTTTTTAATCTGATCTTGTGATTTGAGTTGTCTTATGTCGTTTCTGGAAAGTTTTATGAGTTTAAAGTAGATATTTAGATGTTTAAGCAACAATAACATATATTTCTCTCTATTTTTGTGGGCGAATGAACTTTTTGCGCTTTTACGCACAGAAACCTTGGTTTATTTTCAAACTTTTGAAATATCATTAGCTTAAATGAAAGCTTAACACAACACATTTAGTTTATACATGTGTTGATTTGCATTTTTAAGTTCTGATAGCAAATAAGGTTGCCACTTTTGTATGTTCAGGAGAAAATAATATAATTAAAATAATTTTAAGTGAGCAAATTGAGTTTGGTTCTGTTGTAAAGTTTAACTTTTGCCTCTTTTTGCAAACAGAGAGTCTTAGTATAAAACTAGAGAATAAAGCAACTAAAATGTACTTCTGTATTTTAGTTCTGTCCATCAGGCTACCCCTAAAACTTAGTGATGCTCCTCTATCCATGATTTGTGCAAACAACTTTGTGGTACTTTCAAACTTTAAAAAAAGATGCTGTACTTTTCTCCACGTCATCTGCAGATTCTGCACGTAACCAAACTTGTTAAAAGGTCAGAAGGCTAGATGGTGGAAAATCTTGCGCAGAACTGATGAATGGAACCTTATTAGTATTTAATGCATGTACTTTTCCCGCATTTACGTCTTCTGTGGGGTGTTATCTGAGCGCTGCCAAATGGCTTGTGAATTATTAATTAAAACTGAAACTGACCCCGCTCTGGCTACTGGTTGTAGCTTGTACGTGCTCTCTCCCCTGGCACCTCTCCCAGCGGAAACAACCATTTGATTTAAATAACGTGAGGTCTAGAAATCTGTGTCGATTTAATGCTGCAAATAACATGTTCCAATATTTAAGAATGTCTGGGCTATAGATTGATGCCAAGTTTGACAATTAAACTTGCGTAAGGCCAGAGTTATGCAACCGAGTCACTGATACCTGTGTAAAGTGATCATCTGGAAATGAATAGGTGAATGATTTTTGTCTGAATTATATATGGGGAGTATCAAAATGACATGGGTGAAGGAACAGCGCTGTCACATGGAATTACAACAACGGGTTTGATAGACAGAAAGCTCATTCATAAACAGACAATGCACAGGTTTCCAGACCGTAACAACACAAGCATTCCTTCCTCGGTCTTAGTTTCTGTAAAACCTTCTTCCTGTAAATCATGATGTTTTCCAGCAGAGTAAAAACCTTCTGCTCCCCTGTACCTTCAGGTGGACTGACCCTTTGGTTGATTCTGTGGCTGGTGGTGGTGAAGCCGGGCGGGGTTTCTGCATGCCCTAAGCTGTGTGTGTGTTACCCTACGCCCATGACGGTCAGCTGCCAGTCCCAGAACCTCACCATGGTTCCAGCTGGAGTACCCTACGACTCCCAACGAGTCTTCCTGCAGAACAACCGCATCACAGAGCTTCGCGCAGATTCCTTTGGCTTCGAGACACAGGTGAGCTTCCCACTCGTGGGAAATGCTTCCTCTTACTAAATAATTTCTTTTTTTTAACACATTTCCCATTAAATCCCCCATGCAGGTGCTTTGGCTGTACGGAAACAACATTACATGGATTGAGGCCGGAGCTTTCAGCAACCTCAGGATCCTGGAGGAGCTGGACCTGGGCGACAACCCTTTGCTGCGGCACCTGGAAGGTGGAGCATTCAGGGGGCTGGAGAAGTTGCAGAGCCTGCACATGCATCGCTGCAAGCTGGCCACTCTCCCCCATGATATCTTCCACAAGCTGTACAGCCTCCAGTTTCTCTACCTGCAGGTAAATGCAGCATGGACACACACACAAACACAGAGAGAGAGAGGTAAAAGCATTTTTGAGATGTTCATGATTTATTATGCGTCCAACAGGAGACAGTCATGTTGCAGAATCAGTTCACTGACGCAACAGTCTGCGTTCAAGCTGCACACTCCCCCCCCCCCCCCCCCCCCCCCCCACACACACACAGAGTGACACGTTCCACACTGCTGGAAGATTTAGTCTAAGCAACACATTCAAATACAAACTCAGAAAACCAAAGGCAGCAGATGTATACCAGTGGTCATTTAATCACACAAACTATTCAGTTTTAGTAGGGTCAAATACACAAATATAAGAGAATGTTAGATGAAAAAAACAAACAAATCATCAATAAAATGAGTGAAAATTCAGCAGCACATGCCACATTTAAGCACTGCAGCTGATTACTAAAGCAAACTGAAACAGCATCAGCTTCCTCTGTTGCATTTTCACTAAATTCTCTCATATTTGGGTTTTTCTGCAGGAAAATCAACTCCATTCTCTGCAGGATGACCTCTTCTCAGATCTGGTCAACCTGTCCCATCTTTTCCTGCACGGGAACCGAATCCGTGCCCTCTCTGAGAATGTGTTCAGAGGCCTGGTCAACCTGGACCGCCTCCTTCTCCATGACAACCGCATCCGGCAGGTGAACCGTCGGGCTTTCCGTGATCTGGGTCGCCTGACGATCCTTTACCTTTTCAACAACTCTCTGGCCGAGCTGCCAGGCCAGACCATGAAGGACACCCAGGGCATCCAGTTCCTGCGCCTCAACAGCAACCCCTGGTCCTGCGGCTGCGAGTCCCGTCCCCTCTGGGAGTGGTTCCGCAAAGCCCGCATCTCCTCCTCGGAAGTCGTGTGCACCTCCCCATCCCAGCGTCGTGGCCAGGACCTCCGATTCCTGCGTGAGATGGATTTCGCCCTCTGCCCCATGCCTGACCCAGGCTCCATGGCCGGAACCACAACCACCACCTTCAGCACCAAGACTCGCTGGTGGTTCTCCAAGCACAAGCCTGCGTCTTCATCGAAGGCTTCATTCCAGAAGAGCTCAGAGGGTGTGAAGACCTTACCCTTCTCCCCCGTAAAGCCTCAGTATCCCCCCAAGAAGCCCGCTGAGACCTTACCCTACAAGTACGAACTGTCCGCAGACGAGGCAGCTCTTCCCAAGCTGGATCCGGAAGAGTACTGGGCCAACTACGGAAATGAAGACTCCTCCATCCGCTGCATCGAGCTGGATTGTGCTCCCAGCTATGACAGTGCAGCTTTCCCTTCATCCTCCTCTTCAACCGTCACTCCATCCCATCTCCACTTCCTCTCTTTCTTCATAGTAACACTCCTACTCCGTTTCCTGTTAAGCTGAGCTGTTTTCTCCTCTCACACCTTCTCTTTCCTCTAAGTTTTCCTTCTGCTCTTTCTTGTTCACGCTAAAGAAATTGCATCTTGATTCCCTTCGGTTGCCTCCTGCACATTCGTGGGGGATGATTCAGTGATGCAGGAGATGGACGAGGCAGCAGGGAGCTGTTTCGGAGCAAAGAGCAGAGGTCAGATTAGCTGAGGCAGAAAACGACAAGTGAGTGCAAGTAATCTGGTGGGGTCTTCAGATGCTACTTGTGACATCCCAGTCCAAGCGATGCAGGCTCCATGATCTAATGATTGTCTAATCACTGTTTATGTCATGGTAGCTGCGTACAGCAGGGGATTCACAGTTTGGCTCCACCAGATGTTAGAACAATATGCAGATCCTGAGAAGTAACGGAAGTGATGAAAAGGTTCAAACGCTTACCAGCAAACAAGCACAGTAAATACAGCACAGAATCACTGTAGATAAGCTTATTTCATATTGTACATAGGATTAACAGGATTTGTACTTTTAGTAAGAACAGTTTGTATTAGGTTCATTGATTTTTCAATGGAAGGAAGCCTAAGAATACGTGTTAGCTCGTACAGTTTCACCCAACCGTCACTCTGGCCTTATTTGCTTTCGTGTTGTTTCCTGGACTTTTGCAATTCTCAGTCTGTTTTGATTATGTTTGTAAAACTTGTTTTCGTGTTTCTAACTGGGACATTTTTCACAAAAATGATCATTTGAAAATGCACGACTTGCTCTGGATTTGACCAGTCCACCGGTTCATCTGGTTTCACCAGCATATATGCAAAATATGGTCAAACAGATCATGACAATCAACCAGATGTGTCTGCTCATTCCATGATGGAGCTGCAGCTTTCTGTCTCCTGTGTCTGTGGTAGAAAAGTGACTGCCGTGGACTGATCCTGCGTTGTCAATGAAAGCAATGTGTTTGTGACCAACCCTCCATGTTTCATCTGAATCATGACAGTGAGTTTCTAAACTGATCATACTGTGATGTTGCTGGATTTTGTATTTTTAATGGAAGATGCTGTTGAAGTGTTTTATTTAATAAAAAAAACTGAATTCATAAAGTTTCAGCGAGTTTATTTATTTATTTATTTATTTATTTATTTATTTATTTATTTATTTATTTATTTTTTGTCAAAGCGGTATCCTTCATTGCCACATTAGAAATAAGACAAGAAAGTGACACTGGAATTAAAATAAACCTTATGAGATGAGGTCAAAGAGATTCACATATATACAAACACAATATGTAATTATTTTTCATATTTATTAAGTCACTAATTCAATTTGGGAATAATGAATTGTTTGATTTGATCAATATACTATGAGTTAACAACCAAATGAAACAACTTAGCACTCCCACCTAAGAATGATAATTTTTAGTTACATGCAATCTAGTTCTTTCTTGCAAGTTTTCATCTTATTTATGTAGATTATTTAGATAAAATCACAGTGATTCACAAAGGAAGTTTGAACATGATTAAATAAAAACACAATTATAAAGAAAAGTGCAAATTAAGCTAAGAAGGTAATTAAAACTATAGTAAGAACAATTACTTAATTTGATACACTTTATTGGCCTCAAAGGGAAATTAATTTGCAACAAAGTCTACAAAATCCACACCACAACAACAACACTCACATTTTCTATTCCATTCTCATAATCAGAGAAACAAACAGTTTTCAGCTCTTTTTTTATGTAACAGGACATATATATTGGGACTATCATGTATAAAATAGCTAACAAGCAGGCAAGACAAACCTAAAATGTTTATATTATTACAAAATTATGCCAGTAGCTGAAGGTAAAATAAACAAGTTTTTATCCTGAATATTTTGTACTTTAGACTTTATAGTCTTTATTTTGTCTGTGCTGAACTTGTTTATAAAACTACAGGTGGTGGATGTATGGTGTGTGTGTGCTAGCGGCGTTAGCGGTTCATGTGTGACTGGGAGTGTGAGTGAAGAAGGTCACCAGTTTAAGCGCTGGTCACTTCACACCCCAGCCACTTTCCTCGTTGTTTACAGATGGCGGCTATCTCAGGCTCCTGCAGAGAGAGTCTGAACATGCATGTGTTTGGGGGTTGGTGGGTGGGCTGAGATGTGAATCAGGGAAAGAGGCAGGATGGGGAACACACACCAGGAGCGAAAAGCGACGACTTTTGTCAGAATCAGCACACCCCCTCAACAGGTCCTCTCTCAACATGAACATAGTCATCATGATACATGCAGCCATGCATGTGCCGTGCCAAGACGCTAACACACACACACACACACACACACACACACACACACACACACGCACTGAAACACAAACTTGAGATTTCAAAAGAGAACTTTCATGTTCCACTTTTACTACTTTCATGGAAATCTTACAGATGAATAGTTTACTAATTTAATCATTTAAATTGATTAGTATTTCTCCACTTCAAAAAATATTCTTTATTTCAGAAAATTAAAGACAAATCTGTTCAGACAGTAGCAGAATGCTGCACTGACTCCAGTCACAGTCGTTGTGGCTCTCCACCAAACTTTTCAATCAGCATTCTGATTGAAATATGTTATTTCAACATATTCAAAGTTGCGGTTTCTCATGTTGCTATTCACTTTCTTGTCACAATTTTTCCTTCTGCACAATATTCCATTAATATGTTTGTATATAGCACACTTTGGAAAGCCAGCTTCTTTTATAATGACCTTGCACTCTTATGGCATTGTTTATAAAATATTATTTCTGATAAAAATAAATGTAAGTCTTAAGGTTAAAATTTTGTGAGAGTCTAATCTTGGGGTTTTATTAAGTCCACGCCATAAAAGACTTGAAATATATCAGTCTGTGTGTAATCAACTTACATATTAAATTAATTTTTTCAAATGTTTATTTAAATAAATGGCCTTCATGATCATACGGAGATGTACTCAGGGGTCTTTTATCAAAGCTTGAATAAAGGCAGCAAATATTGAGCTTTAATTATTTGGCAGCTTGTCAGAAAATGTGGAATATTAAAAAAGTAAAGGATTACTTGACTGTTTTGTTGGCAAGTCACTTCCTGGTTGCCTAGCAACTGCTCAGGGAGAAGAAACAGTCTGAAACCCAATGAACTGAGCAAAACAGAAATCTTTAATTGTATGTCCATCCATTTTTTGTACAGACAAACTGGAAAATGTGTAATCAGTTAATGAGAGCTCTACAAATAATACAGCCTGATGTGATCATATATCACATTTCATTGGGTAACTTAATTTTTTTTTCTTTTACACCTCTGATTTCACTTAAAAACTTTTGTCTTTTCACCTTTACCTGCTCCAGTGTTTGTATAGGGGCCTGACACAAAGACGCAGGAGATGAACCATGTAAGCATTCATGCAGCGCCTTGAAGAGCTCATACTCCTTGAAAGTTTCCAACATTGAAGACCAAGAAACACAGCAGGGGAAAAGTTAAATAAGAGTTATGTCAATAAATAATATCCCAAGCTTAGAACATTTCATAGAGCACTGTTCAATCATCTGAACAAACTATGGCACATCTGCAAAATTGTCAAGAAACATGGCCACCTAAACTAACTGAATGTCCAAAGAGAGCGTCCATCATCAAGGCATGAACCACGGAGAAGGCAGAATCATGCTTTGGGAATAATTTTCTGATCAAAGTTAATGTGAGGATGAACAAGGCTGAATACAGAGCAGTGTGAAGAAAATATGTTAGCAGTTATAAAAGACTTCATATTGGGGTGGAGGAGGACCACCTTCCAGCAGGACTACAGCCGGAGCAACACTGGAACGGTTTGTATCAAATCAGTCTAAGTCTAGGCCTAAATCTGTACTTGAAATTTGCTTGAAAATTGCTATAAAGGTGCTGACTTGGTCCTGTTATTTCCACAAAGACTGTGAGAAATCTAATAATCTTCAATCTCTCAGGAAATAATGCTAAGCTTTTTACGTAACAGGACAGTCACTGTTCAACGTTAAAAGATGACCACCTGCAGAGCTGCAAGTTCACTGTCTCCATTGTGATTTTCCTTTCCATATTTCAGAGCTTCTCTGTTGTGACAAAACTGTAGGCGTTTGCAGCCATTCCCTTACTGGGAGTTCTTTAGACTTTCTTTGTGTTTTTTCCGGTGTAAATCCAGGTCATTAGCTGTGAGAATCACTCTGACAGTACGTGCCCACTCTTTCTCCACCCATCTGGCAACCAGTGTAGCCATGCTCAGCTTCTCAGCGTCTCTTTTATGTATCTGCGTGCCTTTATGTGGCTGTCACTCACTCATCTCATTTTTTTTATTTTTTTTATCTTAAGCTCCATCACTCCAGCGCATCTACATCCCTTTCACACTCTTCCCATCTGGCTGTGCCTTTCTTGCCTGGGTTTATTCCAGTCAGCGTGTTCATGTGCGTAGATCTTGGGTATTTGCTGACGTTCACCTTCGCACGTGTTGTTTGAAGCGGATATATCAGAGCAACACCAGGAAGGTCCAAGAAAGGAGCAGGCAGGAAAGGACTTGCCGGAAAAGAAAATGTCTAAAAGTTCAGTCTTTGATGGAAAGGAAAATATTTAACTTGCAACTTTGAAATGGTAAAAGACCCTTTGCTTTCACATTTGATGAGAATAAATCTATGAAAAATTTGAACTAATTTGCCTTTGGTATCAATAATGAATTTTTGAATTTGAATTGAATTTGAATTTTAATATCTCAGCTTTGGATACCAGCAAAAGTGAATGTGATGCTTAGCGAGAACTATAACCTCTGAATTGCAAAGACACCACTGTTGTACCTCTGAGTTGTACCTTTCTTTAGAGCCCTTATTGATAGCGGTATGTTGACACATAAATGATTTGCAGCGATTTGAAACATATAGGTCAGATATGTATAATGTGATCCATATGGAGATTCTAAATGGATGGATGTGGCTAAGATCTGGACATCAACACAAAAAAACCTGTTGATAACATTTTTTTTTAGATTCTTTTTTTTAATAATAAAAAAGATAAACAATAAATAAACAAGACTTTATTCTACAGTTTTATTTCCCTGTCCATATATTCACCCATATGTAATTACATAAAGATGGACAAGAAAAAGAAAGAGGAGTTAAATTTTCTTACTTATTTCTGCTAAAAACTTAATAGTTACATACTAATTTCAGATACATGTTTGACTGCAAAATTTAGATCGTTATTTTCACAATGAGACCAAGTTTTATATGCACTCCAAAGGATTCAAGAAGAGTAGCCGATTTAGTCTGGGCACGCTTTCATAGGTTGCTTTTGGTGATTTTCCTGCCATTTTAAGTTTTCAACATATCAAAACAGAAATCCAATAAATCCAGTAAACGTAAAACGTTGCCTCCACCAGCTGAATGCTGCATTTAAAAACATGATGCTGTCGCTGAAAGCTACTGACAGTCATGAATGATCCGCCTTCTGCTGTTCTCCTACTCCTCTGAACCTGCTTGTACTGTATTTGCATAGAAATTTAAACATGTTGCTGGTATGAGCATTTGTGATGAGAGCAATGTCCGGTTTTTGAGTCACTTTGGGGTAAAAGTGGGGGACGAGGTGAAGGAAGGGCACATCTGTCCCTTCCTTCTGTAAGCAGCTAAAAATACACTGCACCAGATCGCAAAGACAGGCTAAGACCCACAGAAACCACAGAGATTTGATGTATCTATTTGCATGACATGATTCAGAAAGGCTGAGATATAATTGCAAGCCAAAGACAAGAGAAGAAGAAACGATGAGGTTGTTGGTAACAAAGGACAATAGGAGAGTGATTAGATGTGCTTTTGTGAGTCACTCCGCCTCGCTTTGGGGAGTTGTATTTTTCTGGCACAGACGCAACTTGTGACGTCCCTTGGACGAACCAACTTTTTCTGCCCAAAAAAGTCACTGTCATATCTACTGTGACGGACAAGGGTTGCTATTCTGGGAACGCCGTATTGGCTCCTGACTTTGGAGCATTCAGTCACATCCGTCTGCTGCTCTGAAAGGATTTAGTCCTCTTTCCTGTTGCCTGTCTTGGATTCGGTCTTGTAAGCTCTCCAAATAAGGCTAGATTTTTGGATTAGGAAAATGTTTAAAGAATATGGGAGCCCAACAGTTTGGAGAGGCTCTGAAAAGTGCAAACATCCTGGTTCAAATTTCTGATTTGTGAGACTTTGATAAGTCATTTCCAAACAAAATTTTTTTACACATGCTCAAATAATCCAAAAACAAAATGTGGATGTTTAACATATTAATAAAGAAAGAGAATAATAAAAAAGGTTCAAAAACATGACTGCATACATTTTCATAACCTTAAAATAATACTTTTTGGAATTGATTTTGATTTAATTTCGGCATCTTCCTGACCTCTCACGGGTCATCAGTGTCAGCAAATATGACAAAAACCAAACGTTTCCCCAAAACTGATGGAAACAAGACAGAAACTAGTCCTGGAGGCTGACAGTAAAACTGAAGATGTTATGATTTGTGACAACAATGTGTTTTATTCTCATGTAATACTGGATACAAACTTTACTTCCAAAGAATCCACCCAGGCCTAATATAAATCCTGCAAAGGGTGTGAGCAATACTTGACTACTTTACCGTCATAACGTGCTTTAATGAGGATTTGTCCAGACAGGTGCTGCTCTTTGGGTGGATTGTGGGTGGAAACCCCCGCCCTCGTGTGAATGGTTCAGTCCGGGTAAACTCCCCCGGATCTTGGTTCAGTCGGTCTGAGCGCGAAGCCTCTCCAACAAATATGGCGTCCAAAGCAGGTGCGTGTGTTTTGTTGTGACAAATCGCAGGGAAAAAGCTGGTTATTTCTTTTAAAGTATGAAGGTGACATCCGCTAATCTCCCTGCTAAAGAGATATCTGGACATTTTGTCGTTAGTTTCACTCTTCATAGTATCTCTCTGTATGTCAAAGCTTCTAAATTAAGTTTCTGAACACATTTGTACCCTGAACTCGCTTTCTGACACCATTCTAGGACACATGTAATGATATTATAATAACCAAGCGTCGCCTTGTTTAACCCAGGCGGGTATTTGGATGATTTACAGATAAACTTAGGCTGTTTTTGTTATGCAACAAACATGTAAAATCTTGTGGTGTTCAGGCCGCAAAGGGACAAAGCGCAAAGCGGAGGAAGTGCAGACATTTTCGGAGGAGAAGAAGGAGAAAGGAGAGGAGGAGAGCGGCCAAAATGGCTTGAAAGTGGTCATTGAACACTGGTGAGCTATTTTACCAGCTTAGTATTATTATTATTATTAATAGAAATGAACAGTTGGCGTTAAATGAGATACGGGACAGGACGAGTCCCCAGTTCTTCACAGGACAAAGTTGCACACATGCATTTGTTTTATGTGTAAGAGCACATTAATTCATGCTAATATAAAAGAGATTACTGAACCTCAAATTAAATATGAGAGGCGAAATGCTTGAGGCAAAATTTATTTTATGTGGATTTGAAGACCTCTGAAGTTCATTAACTCCAATATTTCGATTTCTGCCTTTTACTGACGCATCTACGTTCAACCAAGCAACATTTATTTATAATATTTAAAAAAACAACAAGTTTTGCTTGTCATACTTAATTACAGTAAGCCAGGTCACTTATACGTTTCGCTGCTAGGCAACAGTACACTGTGCAGCCATGTTGTACGCCTTTCAAATCTCAATAGCTGTCGTCCTGTATGTTTTAGATGTTTTCCTGCTCCAACTCAGCTGAATCAAATGACTCCAGCAGAACCTGATAACATGATGTGATTCAGTCATTTAAAACTCCTGGAAAAGGAAATGATTTTCCAAACTCTCTCTTTAAACGATGGCTCAAATTGAAGTATCTTCACTTAACATCTGATATGTACTTTTTGCACACAGACCATGATATTAATTAACATTTCTGTAAAATGGTCTAGTTTTGAAGTAAAAACAAAAACTGCTCTGATTGTTTATATCCACTCTTAGACATCACATTGTATCCTTGGAGATCTCATCTCAAGTGGATATTTCCAAGTTTGCTCATAACTAGCATTAAACGTTCCCTGAAAGACAATTTGCAAATAAATATAATATAGCCCATTCTTTTCTAGCCAGCGGGTGGATGAGCCAGGTTAAAGAAGTGACCATTTATGCAGGAAGAACTTCCTTCCTTCAGAGTGATAAAATTTATTGTCAATTAGAATTTATAGTGTAATATATAACGTCCTGCTGATTAATTAATGTCCTGAGATTCATTGTTTCTTGAAAACTACCGAACATTATTACTTTTTTCTTTAAAAAGAGCATTTGTATCTTGACATCCAGTAAACCAGGTGTGTTTACTTCAGCCACATGGTCAGAGCCGGGTCTCCATCACTGTTTTTCTTGTTAAATAATTAATCTAAACCGTTCTTTTCCACCACAGGAAGTACATATGTGGGGCTTTTGCTCATTCTTGATCTTCTGTGTCCTGCAGCAAAAGCTGACGAGTGTATGGGCGTAACGCCGAGGAGGTGAAATCTGCCCTTCTGGCTGCCCGCCCCGGGCTGACGGTGGTCCTCAACCCCGAGAAGCCCCGCAGGAACAGCTTCGAGGTCACTCTGCTGGACGGAGGCAAAGGTGAGGAGGGATGAGATAGAGGCGCCAAGAATAACTGGGCCATTTGGTCTCCCCAAGGGAACACCGTTGTTCCTGCCAAGTTTTTGCCCTTTCGCATCGTAGAATCATCGTCGTGACTCGTTCGGCTGATTGTAAATTTTTTCTTAAAGTTGAAGTAAAAAATTTCCCGAAGTGGAAGATGTCAGAAAAATAATCCCTTGAACGTTGGTGTTCACTTGCCAAATTTCTTGCTTTATCCACCTACTTCAGTTGTTTGTTGTTAGATGTTTCCAGTTATTGACTTTATACTTATGATTTGACTTGCTGGTTCGAATAATCCGTCTCTTTTGTGTCATCCCTAAAGAAACATCTCTTTGGACGGGAATAAAGAAGGGCCCACCTCGTAAGCTGAAGTTTCCTCAGCCAGACAGCGTTGTTGCTGCTCTGCAGGAAGCTCTTAAGCCTGAATAAACACCAAGTGAAGGTTGGTCAAAGCTGACATATTTTTAATTTAGGCAGATATTAGTCCAAGTATTTAAATTGTATCATTTAACCAAGCTTTTCTACATCTATTACTACATTTTCTGTGTCTCAAATGAAATTCAATAGATATTTATCCGTTTTATGTGCAGCTGAGCATCTAGAAGATGTGACTGGTGGAAGCAGAATGATGAGGAGTGACCAATGAGACGCTCTCAGTCTCTCCTCTGATGAGCCCAGCTCCATCTGAAGTCTCCTGGACGCACGGCGACACCTAGTGGATCATCTGAGCAAATGCAACATTATGTTTTGCAAAGTTTTTCTACATCCCAGTTCTGAAAACTTTTGGTTTTATACCTAAATAAAGTTATTTAATTGATGTGTTTTACTTTTTTGAGTCATTTTCAGTAAATAACTAAGTTAATGTTAGAAACTGTCTTCAAACAATCACTTAATCACCACTAATAGATGAATTGATGGAGTCAGCTTCATGTAAAACAGTTCATATCCTGATATGTTTTCATCTTAATATGATTTTGAGAGACAATGCTAAAATATAAATCAAAGAGTGGTAGACCAAACCTCTAACAATTCTTCCAAACCATTGCAAAAAATTAAGGTTGGATAATTTTCTTTTAGAGAGTAAGTATAACTTGAAAAACATTGGTCCTGTAATTTTATTTTTTTAAAATTGGTTAGAACTGGCTGAACATGCGAATTGCTGTCCCTAAATTCACTTTAATCTTATTCATTACCAGTTCTAAAACGGGTCATATTTGGCACAACTACAGACCCAAATAGGAAAACACAAAATAGCATGTTGTTGAGAATGTCTAACACTACTAGCTTACACACTGGGATCCAAAACCTGAACCCATTGTGCTCTTTAGTTTTCTTAGTGTACTGCAAGTGAGAGAGATGACTGGAAATATGTATTTCTAGTTGGAGAAAATGTATTCCAGTTTGTTCTTGTAGGAACAAGCATTTGTATCAACCAGAAATTACTTAATTCAAAAAGGTAATTAACTCGAGGAAAAAAGGAGCCTCTGGATCATCTGCTCCAGTAAAGCGAACAATTCTTGGTTACTTGAACAACCCAGGTTATTTGAAATGGTCCAATAAAGCAGTTTAAAAAAATTATTTAGGAATGGGACAATGCAGAGGTAATACTGTCCGTAGGGGGGCAGTAATAAAAAAAATGTATGGCTACTATTTGCGTGACATCATCATTATGCGACAGTGGTTCCTCATGAGAGCTGCACAAATTTTTTTTGTCCTCTAAAATAAGTTTGAAATCTATCGTGTGAGTATTACACAGCACATAAAGCAACATATTAATCACCCTATTGAGAAAACTTGAGCCATGTGGAGCATTTGTATGCCATCATTCCTGGTTTTATTTGATTGTTTTTGTAGATTAGCAGCGGCATGCTAACTGAGAGCTAGTTTGTTTTCTACTTTCATCTGTTTTTCTCTTTGTATCTTATGCGAAGTTGTATCGTGTATTCTAGCATCTGTTCGCTCTTTCTATAGATAAATGTTTTTTTATGTTAGTTAATAGCTACATATCTTAAGTAACTTTGCTTTGGAAGACACGTTTACCTAAAACACAAAGTGATTCCTTTCCGAAAGCTTGTCACAAACTATTACAGCCTTTCTCTGCTGAGGCAGAATGAAGCGTTTTCTAACGATATAAGAGAATTACTGAAAGGAATGGGATTTCTGCTAGACAGTAATGGCAGCAGAGGGTGTGGAAAAGACCAGCGAAGATGCATCGTCTTCGGGGAAGGTGTCCAAAAGGTTCGACCTGGAGAAGGAGACCGAGCTTCGCTTCGAGGTGGAGGCCGGAGAGGCCGCGGATCAGGTGGAGATGGAGCTCCTGACGGGGATGGCTGAGGTGTTTGGCTCTGAGCTGAACCGCAACAAGAAGTACACCTTCGGACCAGGCTCCAAGATCGCAGTTTTCACTTGGCAGGGCTGCAGTGTGAATCTGTATGGAAAGCCAGAGGTAAGGGCCTTGTGTAGATGTTTGAAAGTTTTCATTTTGTATTCTTATTTGCAATCAAACATATACCGATGTTATTTTTTAATAAGAATAAAACTTGGGTTGTCCAGTAGTTGCGAATCCGAAAACAATTTATAAAGTTGGGTTAATATTTGCGCTCTTACTTGGAAATTACTTGAGGTTTTTCCTCAACTTTTTCCTTAATAAATGCAATTAGTGTGGTTATAAAAGTGTTGTTATCACTGCAGGTGGCCTATGTGTCCAAGGATACTCCTATGCTGCTCTACCTGAACACCCATGCTGCCCTGGAACAGATGAGGAAACAAGCTGAGCGGGAAAATGAGAGGGGGCCCAGGGTAAGTTTTAATAAGAATCTTCTAGATCTCTTCATAAAGGCTTCAGAACAAAATGACAACAAGACCAGTAAATACTTGTTCTCCAGGTGATGGTAGTGGGACCTACAGACGTGGGGAAGTCCACAGTGTGCCGAATGCTTCTCAGCTATGCTGTGAGAGTTGGAAGGAGACCTACGCTGGTGGAACTGGATGTTGGACAGAGTGGGGTAAAAGCCTTTTCATTTTATAATGTCTCTATGACCTGTTAGGGTTGTTGATCTGTAAGAGGACAACAACTTTACTTTTTATTACTCAGTTTCCAATGACATGAATAATGATGAAATACACAAATAACATGTAGTGTCATATTGATGTTTGAAACACCTACTTCTTTTAAGGAATTTGTTTAGTAGTGCTTCATGATATTAGGAAGCGTGGAAATGAAATGTTATTGAAGTATTGTTGTATTGTAAATACAATATTGTTGTTGTATTATTGTAAATAATAAAATAATAAAGAAATAAAAATAACACCAGCTTTATTGTATGAGTCTTGAACTTGTAAGGTGCTAAAGGTTGCAGGGAGAGGTGGATCCGTTGTGATGGCTAATAAGAAAGATTAGATTTATTGCATTTGCAGCCTGTAATACTAATGTCACTGTTGCATGAGTCCTGTTACTGTGCAGCTATTGTTGATGTGTATCCAGGTGAATCTGTGTTAATCCCAGGAGCCATAAATTGATGTGAATTAAGTTACTCTCCCTTATTTCCAGTGATTTTAAGACTATGGCAAGACTTATCCTATGTTGTTGTTCTGAGGACTAAGCTGTGTACTGTATTATGTTGTCTCAGGTTTCTGTTCCAGGGACAGTATCAGCTCTGTGCATCGAGCGTCCTGCAGACGTGGAGGAGGGCTTCTCTGTCCAGGCTCCTTTAGTTTATCACTTTGGTTCTACGACTCCTGGAACCAACATCAAACTTTACAACAAGGTAAGAAGGAAGATTCTGCATTTTGCTGATGTAACGTTGCTTTCTGCTGTATATTTGTCTGACTCTCTTGTCTAATCTCATAGCTGACATCGTGCCTGGCCGAGGTGTTCTCTCAACGCTGTGAGGTAAACAGGAAGGCCAGCGTTGGCGGCTGCATCATCAACACCTGTGGCTGGGTGAAGGGTTCTGGGTACCAGGCCCTGGTCCACTGTGCCTCCACCTTCCAGGTGGACGTGGTGCTCGTGCTGGACCATGAGAGGCTCTACAATGAACTCAAAAGGGACCTGCCGCACTTTGTGCGCGTTGTGCTGCTGCCGAAGTCCGGAGGAGTGGTGGAGCGCTCCAAGGAGTGCCGGCGGGAGACTCGGGATGAAAAGATCCGCGAGTACTTCTACGGCTTCCGCGGGCTGTCCTTCTTCCCTTTCTCTTTTGAAGTGCGATTCTCGGATGTTCGCATCTACAAGATCGGGGCGCCGTCCATCCCGGACTCTTGCCTGCCACTGGGAATGTCTCAGGACGACACGCAGCTGAAACTGGTGCCGGTGACTCCAGGGAGAGACCTGACGTATCACGTGCTGAGTGTGAGCAGCGTCGACGACGGAGACGAAGACGCCAGGAAGAGCATCGTGGAGAGCCCCGTCTGCGGATTCATTGTGGTCACAAACGTTGACACTCAGGCACAGGTGATGAAAGTGCTGTCACCTGCACCCAGACCACTGCCCAGACACACGCTGCTCATCATGGACATCCGCTTTATGGACATGAAATGAAGCCACATGTTGGAGAAGAGGACGCGAGATAAAGTGATGATCATATTTGTGAGCACTTTTTCTTTCTAGGTGCTTTGCAAGGACTTAAAAGAGAGCGAGATGGAATTAAAATTGGTTAAATTATACCTTCCTTTTATTGTTTGCACTGTGCAAATTTCTCTTGTTGCCATTTATAGGTGCTGGATTTTTCTTTTTTGATAATCTGTTTTATAGAATGTCTTTTCTTCTCTCTTGTACAAATAAATTTTAACTTTGAGAATCCCTGTGTGTTAATTATACTTTTATTTGAAAATGAAGCAGCTTGCTTCCATGCCTCCAATTTCAAAAGCTAATCATGTAGTCTATCCTAATTGATGGATAATTTACTAAATCCTGAAAATTATTAATTATATCACTTCTAAGTGAAGTCATGTAGATTATTTTTTGTACCTGTTAAGTTTCTGTATGAAATGGGAGGAATGGCCAGCATTTTGTGTTTTCTACATCCAGACAGTGTTTATCATGTATGTCTTTAGTGCTGCAAAGGACACCAACCTGCTTGGTGGTTACCAGTAGCAACGCTACCAGTATGGCAGTAAATGTTTTGGAGCATGACATAAAGAGCTCATTTCATATTTGGTGTGTAAACATGTACTAACTCGGGCAATATTCAGGCCTAGATTAAAGTCAGATTTATGACTTTTTTCTCAGAAATCTGAGATTAAAGTGAGAATTTTTTTTTCAGTGGCCCTAATTCTCTCCATAGTACATAAATATCTATCCGTGCTACGGTAGAAAAATCTGACAAGAAGCAGCTTTTTGCATGTGTGATTCATTTCCTATGTGGACACAGAATGGGGTTCAGTTCAATTCAAATTTATTTAATCAAGGACAGCACATTAAACAATACTACATGTGGAAAAACAGAGAAACTGTTGTTTCGTGCATACGTTTTCTAACCTAGGCACCAAATTTGTTTTTGTATTATCATTTGACACTTTTCACTTTCCATAAAAGTCAGGACATACTGGAGGAGCAGTTTGGTATTAAGCTTTGAAAATATGAAAAGCAAGTTTATCCTCATAGTTTTAGGGTTTCAGGGTTGTTATTTTTTTTTTTTTACTGTTTCTCTAAATTGTTCTAAAACTATGTTTGTTCTTAGAAAAATGTAAATTTTGAAAACTAAAAAAAAAAAATCTTCAGTACTACATTATAAAAAAAAATAAATGTAAAATTTTGCTGTTTCTCTAAATTATTCTAAAAAATATATTAGGAATACATTATGAATAAAACATATAATGCTATTAACATGAGTTTTAGTAGATGTTTAGATTCATACTGTTTCTTTGAAGTTGGGCAGGTTTTACAGGTTTAGTTTTACCCTGTGTTTTATGGAGAGCCATTTCAGCCAAAATGGATAAAGGGATACATGAAAAATGGCTCTCCATATAGTTATTTCTTTACTAGTAGAAACGTATGCTGTCGCTTTTCCTGGAGGCCACGCCCCCTCTGCTGCTGATTGGCTGTTCGTCCAACCTGGGAAACGACAGGCCAGTTCCTGGATTCCGATGTCGGCCTAGAAAGCGGCTAAGTAGTTTGCTTGTGGCTAACTCAAGGAGGACTAAAACGACCCACACACACCACAGGGAAGACAACTCTACACGTCGACATTAGGGTACGTCTTTAGCTGTTGTCTTTAGCGACTGTTCGGGTAAAAGTCTCTATATTTGCCCCTCGAATCTTCAATGAAAGCTTCTCGCCGTGAAGCTAGTCAGAGAACTGACGCTAGCTCACTTCAGTAGCTGTGGTAAAAGACAGAGCAGTGTCGCAAAAAACTTTCGAGGTTGGGTAAAAAGAGCCTGTGAGTAATTGTGATGTTTATATTACTGTTGTTATTACTCACTTGAAATGAAACCCAAAACAGGGATTGTTCAAAGGAGTAGTATTTGTGTGTTTTTTTTTTTTTTTTTTTTACGAGAATCTCCGCTGGGAGCAGATTATGGGTAACGTTAGTTGACTTCACTGAATCCTTACGCTCGCCTGGCCTTCCTCCTTTTCACGTCTTGTTCTGCCTCATTGTTTCATACGTTTTAAACATCTTCTGTCCAGTTTCAAACAAAACACCAGAAACTGGTTTCGGTTTGGGGGAAAAAAAAACAAAAAAACTGGACTCAATCGGCCACTTAATGGAGCAGGCTGTAGTAGTGACATGACCGACAAAGCTCGACACGGAGATTTTAGGATTAACATCCATTATAGTCTGGGTCGGGGGGGATTTGTTGTGGGTCAGATGAGATGATTAACAACAAGAGACGGTGTCGCGGCTCCAGCTCCTTATTACCACCAAGTACAGATGATTGTTGGACAGAGGGGTGTGTCTATCAGACTATCAGATTACACCGTTAGCAGCGGATCTGTTTGCGGTTGGCTCACACAACACGGACAAGTTTTTCTTCTGGATATGAAATAAATGAGCATGATATATGTGTGTGTGTCATAGGGGTGTTTTGCATTTCCAGTATCGGGAGGTGTTTTCCTTTTGCCGCCTGAGGGCACTGACGTTAACAGCTGGCGGACAGCCGGCAGTTTAACAACTTTCTGAGGAATGGTGAAAAGTACTGGAGTAGTAATTTGTGTCAGTCAGACTATTGTGAAATCAGAGTGAAACCAATCTTTCCCTACAACTAAATCAACTTTGCTAGATTGCATGGCACTGTGTAAAAGTGCTAATACCCCTTTAACTTAAGCACATTTTTTTCACATAATGTTTTTTATTATTATTATTATTTTGAGGGACTATTTTGAGACTGGACCAAAACAAAGTTGCATTAATAAGAAACTGTTATTTTTTCTTTTCCATGCACTGTGTCGGATCCCTGCCAGAAAGTTGTAGTTGTGATCTCACCTGACCAGAGATGAGTTTTGTAGACATCTTATGGGTTTTTTTTTTTCAGCAAGTGTTTTCATCTCATCACTCGTCCATAAAGGCCAACTTTGTGTGGAGACAACTAAACGTTGTTAAAGATTCCCTTCTTGCTGTGTTCCTTCACAGAATAGCTCAATTTTTACTGATTTTAAATAACTCATAAGTGGACTTAGATGTACTGACAAGATAACTTCTAAATGTATTTGTGTTGTGTTTTAATTAGGGATAAGGAGTAAATGGGGATGAATAAGAATTCATGACACCCTTTTCATATTTTTATGAGTAAAAGTATTGGAGCTATGTATCCAGTTTACACAACACAAATATGCACTTCTTTGGGTTTTTCTGTCACATGAACTCATAAACGTTTGTGGCTGTAATGTGACAAAAAGTGGATAAGTTTGAGGGACCTGAATACTTTGCGAACCACTGTCCATTCCTAGCATACTATAGAGTTTAATAGTCAGTTATTTGTATTTCATACTCATATTGGATAGTTTCAGTAGTCCCTCTAATAGTTAACGGTACAGGTCCTCAGTGATGAAACAAGGTAAAGAAAAATATTTCTGCTGTTTTTCAAATTGGAAAACGACTCCAAAACATAAATTCAGGAATGCAAGTCAAGCAGTTTTTGTGCAATCCTGCCAGCAAACAGCATCAGCTAATTTACTATTTGCCAGAGCTGTAATTATTTGGATAATTAGTGTTTTGCTTTTTGTACTTACATGTTGATAGTTTTCTAATGTTGTGCATTCATGTTGCCTCAGGTACCTCCAGCAGTAAATCCACAGCGCTAGGGCATGAAGAAGGAGCTGGAACCAATGAAAAGAAGAGGGCTGGCATGTGTCCATCTACATGACGCCCAAGCTGTGTGTGACTTTCCTTAAGGGATGCAGAATGAGAGAGGAGAGCGTTCTGCAGAGAAGCTGGAGGTGGGAAAGGTCCCTGCTACACCCATCCCAAAGCAAGCACAGTGGCACCTTGCTGAGCTCCATTGGGCTTCTTTATGGAATGAGTTGATTCTGTCATTGTATCAACAGACCAAGTGAAAACTGAAACAGGCTCTTGGATGATTTTTTTTTTTTTTTTTTTTACCTTTTTAAAAGCCTTTAAACACAAGGACATTAACTGGTTAACAATTTTTTTTGACAACTTAAATAAAAACAAAAAAACACCTGGACATTTTTTTTTTAAGCTTCCCACACCTGGCTTAAAAGTGGATTTGTTTCAGCTGGTTCTTCCTCCTGACTGAGTTTGAAATGCCAGAAGTGTCCCTCCTGCCGCCATCCTCAGTTTCTTCCACCCACCCAGTGCCTAAATAAGCTCTCTTGGGAAGAAGTCATCAGCAGCTGCTGTGCTCAATCCTCTCTATTTGTTCTCCTCCACGTGCTTCTGCTCTCTGTCTGATGGACTACCTCTTTTCATTTTGTTTTCTTTTTATACTGTTATCCTCTAATAATCAAAACTCAAGCACAGCGACACAATTTTAACAAAACACTGCACCGGTTTTGGTTTTGTGCTTGAGTTCTTGCCCTATTTTCATATATGCACAGCAGTGTTTATATTGTTGCGTTATTGCACCAAATACAGATGCATTAAAGCCATACTCAGTAATATTTATGAATTGCATACATATATTTTTGTATTATTTTGCTCTTGTATAGAAATTAAATGTATGCATTCAAATTAATTATCGACAAGAAGCTGCGCACATCCAAGTCGTGCGTGTTGCTGTTTTGAAAACGGTTTTATATCTCAGCCAGGAGACATTGGAAGTGTGCACACGGAGAATCCCTCATGTCTCCACTCAATTTCTGCTTTGCATAGAGTTGTAGCCATGGCCCCGCCTCTTAAACACCTACGTCATCATTTTGACCTGTAACCTCCCCTTTACAGTAGGTAGACAGTCGATATCTACCTCCCTCTCTTCTTCCTCCCCTCTCTCCGTTGCTGATGCCCAGTTTCAGTGGTGGGGTGGTTGGGGGAGGGGTAGGGGGCCCAGCTTCTGCTCCTCCCCGTCCGTTTCGCCCCAGCCGATATGTGCCGGTGTCTGCAGCCATAACTTTCCTGGTTGGGTCCACGACCCTCTTCTTTTGCTTCACGTGAGTATTTATTTATTTATTTATACATATAAAAACTGTTGTGATTTTAAAAAAGATTAATCTCTTTACAGGTTTATGTTAAGTAGGCCTGTCACAATAACAAATTTTGCTGGATGAAAAATTGCTCCAGAAGTTATTGAGATAAACAATAATATTGTTGTTTTGAGACCATTTTTAAGTAATGTAATGGTATTGGCAAAAATAATAATGCCAGAGCACATTCTAAAAAAAATCAGTAAACTTTAAATTCTAATGAACATTTAACACTGGAACTGAAAGACATTTTAAGTGTCCAAAATAAATTAACAAAACAAAAAAATTAAATGAATTTTGAAGTCTTTGTAAATCGTCCTTCAAAAAATGGTCTAGTTGAGCCCAAAGCACCAAACTGAAGATTTTTATCATCTAGTTTTTGGTAGAAAGAGGGAAAAAAAGAGAAACGATACATCATGCCAATGGAAATTATTGAGTTTGTTTTAATTTATCATGTGATTAATTGATTTATTGATTATTGTGACAGGCCTGGTAGTAATGCATTAAATATCGAAGTACAAGTACGTGGATAACTTTTCAGTATATTAAAGTATCATTTTGAAGTGAATTTATTTAGCAATTCAAATCACAACATAATACTCCTGCTGTACAGATTAATTACATCATAGGATGATATTTTTCAAGCTTTTATTTCTTTCGATTTCTAAGAATATGGCTAAAAGTTTATGGAAACCAATATGTGCTGGTATTTGCACTCCATTCTTGGTCAGGCCTCCCTTTGGATGGACCGGTTCCTCTGCTGAAGTGTTGATTTAAAGACGACATTCAGCTCATTTGCCATGTCAGTGTTAGTGGGGTTGGTAATTGTCAAGTCCTTCATAAAGCTTTGCAGCTGAGGGAAGCATGAAGTGCTCTGACACATCCAGTGAGATGCTGCGCTGGTTTTTGACTTAATAAAACACGGTGGACCGACACCAGCACATTGTGGGACTCCACAAATTATCTCTGACTGTGGAAACTTCCCACTGAACCTCAAACATTGTGGATTCATGCCTCTCAACTTTTCCTCCAAACTCTGGGATGTTGAAATGCAAAATTTATTTTGATCTGTAAAGAGGAGTTTGGACCACTGAATAGCAGTTGAGGCTTTTTTTTTTTTCTTTAACCCACATACAAGTCTTCTGGCAGTTTTTCCTCATTTAGGAGTTTCAAACACGAGGAGAGAGTAGTTGTACGCTGTGTCCTGCATTTAACTGTGTTTTGGCTCTTGAATCACTCGCTGCAGCCACAATCCACACCTTTTTAATCTCCCTTGAACTCTTGAGTCTGTCTTACTTCACAGTCCTTGCATTGCTCTATTTATCCCTTCTGTTTTCCCTACCGCATCACTCAACTTTCCCTTTATATGATTGGTTACTGCTCTATGTCTGCAGCAATGACTTTATGTGGCAGAACATCTGTTTAGTCAAGTCTTCCCTGTGACTGTGTAAGCTATAATTGATCATAGCATAATATTCTGAATTAAAAATAATAATTTTTGGCTTTTAATTTAGTTTTCTGGGCTAAATTAAAATAAATGATTGAAATATAACGCTGTTTAATGAATCCCTGTATGACTTTTAGTTTCTGTATTGAATTACTCAAATAAATTTTCAAAGATACTCCTTCGTTAAGATGCCCCTGTATCCGAAACACATCATGTAGAATTAAAAGTTGCTGTTTTTGTGGGTTGTAACTTTCATTTATTCAGAGAGAGAATTGACAGACCACTATAGCCATCTGTTCATCGACACTCCCACGGTTTCACACCGTCACACCTCTGAGCTCTGCATGCGGTATAAATTTAGTCCCTCTGCAGTCTTAGTGGAGGTGTTTGGGAGTTTAATTGCCTTTCTCAAAGACTCCTCATCAGGTGCTGTTGGGCTGTGAAAAGAGCATTTTCTGTCTCATTATGACAATCTAGAAATCTGAATATATCTGAGCAACGTTCCTTTTTTTTTTTTCTTTCTCCTGAATGTCTTCTCCAGGTGCCCATGGTTATCGGAGTACATCTCCGGTGTAATACCCATCTACATCGCTGTAATCTTCCTTTTCACACTTGCCAACTTTTGCATGGCTACATTCATGGATCCTGGAGTCTTCCCCAGAGGTAAGGATGTGGCAGCCAGTGTGTGCACACATGCAAATGCTGCAATGCTTTCAGAGCATGATGCACAACATAAGTCATTGCAAATGTTGCTGTGACTCACTGGAGCAGCATGATGTGGAGCCGGAGTTCTGGTCTTCAGCGGCCTCTGTGCTTTCAGTTTTAGACGTCGTCCTGCTGAGCAGCACGCCTTCATTTAAACAAATGCTGTGCTTACAGTTTGTTTTGCATGTTTCGCGTTTGCAGCTGAGGAAGACGAGGACAAAGAGGACGATTTCCGTGCTCCTCTCTATAAGACGGTTGAGATCCGAAGCATCCAGGTGCGAATGAAGTGGTGCTCGACCTGCCGCTTCTACCGCCCGCCCCGCTGCTCACACTGCTCTGTCTGTGACAACTGTGTGGAGGTACGCACGCACACCAACACGTGCAAGTTCACATAAAGACATTCACCCAACTTATGGAAATTTTTTGGCTCTTTAAATAAGATTGCACTTTTGGTTTCACTTTTAAATTTGGCATTTGTTGCTTATCTCTTTCTCTTTAGTCAAGCTGCCTCACACACTTAATTCCTTAAAGAAGTACAGAATGCAAAGTTGTCCATTATTGTGGAAGAAGAAAAAACTGCAAACAATTTGGGCCTGCATAAATATTCGGTCCCTTTGAGTGAATGCTTTGTAGATATTTGCTGTGATCAAAGCTGATCACTCCCGTCTGCATTTTGCGTTAGGTGACATTTGAAGGCAAGTGGGTTTTATTTAGGTGTATCAGAATCAGAGGGACCTAATATAAAATATGCCACACTTTTTAGATTTTTGTGGTTGTTTAAAAAAACAACATAAAATCCCAAGAAAATTCATCCATTGTCTACAACCGTTTATTATTGTCTGGTTGGTGGAAGTGCTGCCTGTCTCCAGCAGTCAGTGGGTGAAAGGTGAGGTTGGTTCACCCTGGACAGGTCACTAGCAACACAGAGACGCAGTTAAAACAACCATTCACAAACCACTCCCAACAAAACACAAAACATGAAAGGATGGAGGTACTTTCTCAAGGCGTTGCATATATGTCCTTCAAAGTAATTTGTGTATTAATTTTGATATTAAATCCCCATTTCACTGCTGGTTTTCAGAAACTCCAGGTATCTGTCATGTTCTTGATAGTCGATGTGAGAAGTGGAGGCTGAGCATGTCTATAATTTCATAATTGCCCTTGTTTTGTGTCCTCCTTCCTTCTAAGCTGTATATTTACTTTGAATTGTATCTTTTTTTTTCCCCCCCTCCCAGGATTTTGACCACCATTGTCCCTGGGTGAACAACTGTATTGGCCGAAGGAATTATCGCTATTTCTTCCTGTTTTTGCTGTCTTTAACCACCCACATCATGGACGTGTTTGGCTTCGGCTTGGTTTACGTCCTGCATCACCGCCAGCAGCTCGACACGCCGCACGCTGCTGTTACGTATCCTTTAAGTGGGGATTTTGAAGCCATAAAAGTGCAGAATGAGACTACTTTAATTACTTTTCACGTACTTTCTTCTTCTTTTTGGTTCATTTCTCTGCATTTCTAAAAATCTCCTTAACCCTTTTTACCAGTATGGCTGTGATGTGTGTTGCTGGCCTGTTTTTTGTCCCAGTTGCTGGCCTGACTGGGTTCCACGTAGTGTTGGTGGCCCGCGGTAGGACCACTAATGAACAGGTACAAGGAAGTGCCTAGTGCGCATCTTTTCCTCTCCCTGCCTACTTTTTTTCCTTCAAACATTTGAAACCCATTTGAGCAGGCACATGTGTTTCTCTCCCGCTGCAGGTGACGGGGAAGTTCAGAGGAGGTGTTAACCCTTTCACCAAGGGTTGCTGGAGGAATATTTCACATGTCCTCTGCAGCCCGCTGGCGCCAAGGTCGGCACTCTTCCTCGTATTTGCTCTTCCATTTTCTGCATCCGTTTTCTTTTTGTTTTCAACTGTGTTTAGCTTCTGGAATATGAGTGTGGGAATTGGCTGTGAACACTTTTTGCTGCATAATTTCTAATAAATGATGCTTAAATATCTGTGTGTGTGTTATAGGTACATGGGCCGGTGGTGGAACCGTCAGACAGTGGAAGTACAACCACCGTTTCTTAGACCGTCTCTTACTGAGGCTCAGTTAGAAGCTAAGGTTCTGGACAACGGGATCCAGAATGACCGACACAGCAGCAGGGTGAGTCATGCTCGCGTTGGCTTTCCTAAACGCACAGCTAATATTTATTAAGATGTGTTTTTATGAGACAGAAAATCACTCTGTAAGCAGGCAGGCCTGCTGCTCTTACATTTTGTGTTTGAAAAACACTTGATGTTTTTTTTTTTTTTCCCTCCCATTTTAGTGAAAGCAAATATCAGTCAGACATGACTTGACAGACATTTTAAAGAGAAATCTTAAAATGTCTAACCAGAAATCTTAAAATCTTCTAGACCAGGAGTTTATATGTTCAGAAGCCTCATCACTGTTTTTTTTTACCCACTTCTCTTATCAGTTTATGTGCCTCTAACAACTAACTGTGTTTCCTCCAGTCTAAGAGCAGTCTGGATCAGATGGAGAGCCAGTCAGCTGACATAGAGCCTCCACCTCCTCCGAAGCCGGATTTTCGTTACCCTGGTCTGCCCCGTGCCGACACAGAAGGTTGGAGGCAAATTCCCTTCAGACATTTGGGGGAATTTCTTTTCTTTTTTTCTGCTTAGCATGGAGGAATGTAGAGGAATACCACCTGAAACCTCACCTGCACAGCTAATGTTAAGTGCACTGAAATTGTTTGCCGTGACTCTGGCCCTGAAAGTACATAAGAGGGAATAAGTAGAGAGATATAAATCACCTGATGTGTGTAAAAGGAAGAGTTAACAAAGATTCTTTAGGTGTTTTCTGATCTTTCCTGCAGCGCCTTTAAGCGTCACTTTTGCTTCCTTGTGTTGCAGCGAGCAGCTTGTTGTCAGAGGCTCCACCTACGCCGTCGATGTACAAGTACCGACCAGCCTACAGCAGCCCAGGGAGGAATCACACTGGTGTCACACATCCAAACAAGGTACATTTAAAAACTCAAAGCCGTGACGTAGGTTATTCACAGCATGCCATGTAAGTACTGCAACTATATGCTGGGAAGGAAACTAAGGGGGGGGGAAGTTCTTGATACGGTCTTTTAAATAGAAACAAACATATTAAAATTTGACAGAAAGCTAATTTTCCAGTTTTCAGCTGGTTGCATGAGAAGGAAACCAGTAGAGCAGAAAACGCGCCGTCCTGTTTAAGTGTCAAGTGGTGTGGAGGCAGTTGTGTCCGCCTTCTGCTTTCATTTGTAAAATAAATGCCCTTCTTTTTGTTTTTACTTGAAATTGATCAGTGGCCATCGGTTGAGCAGTAAGTCTCGGTGTGTGTGTGCGTGCGTGTGTGTGTGTGTGTGTATCCCCCTGGCTGTCTGTGTGTGTTTGACTGGATCTACCCTCTCCCTTCAGACTGCATTGACTGGAATGTGCAGTTCGTCTTTCATATGTATTTGCATTTCCATTTATGTGTTTGCACACAGAGTCTCAAACCAGTCAATGTTTCTACTTCAGTAGTGTGATGATGGAGTAGAGCACCAGTTAAGCATCCAATGCTCCCCACCACTCTTTTGTCTTTTTACAATCTGAGCAAAGCCTCTTTGCAGGTACATCTCAATAAGTTATATTATTAAAAGTTTAACTCCTGTTGTAATTAATTTTTTTTTTTTTTTAAATTGCCGCTTATATTTTTGTTACACACAGTGATCATTTTTGTTCATTTTGATGATTATGGCTTTCAGCTAATTAACTCCTTAAAGTTCAGTTTATCATATGTAATTCCGCTTTGTCAGAGCTCATTTTGAACAAATTACCCTGACTTGAAAATGGTCTCAACACGATTTTATCGCAATCATTTCTGGGACGATTAATTTGTTGTTGCAAAATTTGTTGTTGTGCGACAGGCCCACACATGTCTTAGTCCAGGAATTGCAGCAGTTGTAGTTCAATTCCTGAAAACGGCGGCTGTGGGTGTGGCTTCTTAAGAAGCGACTCCAGTTCCCGTCTACACCTTAAATTATTTACTTACCTTTGATTTACAATCTTCCCCACGCTGCTGTTATCACAATTTTTAAACCACACTTGGTTCTTCCACTCAACTTTCCATCAATGTCTTGGATATAGCAATTTTTTCAGCCACACTGTTTTGTGGTTTACACCTACTGTGCAGAGTCTGTTGGACCGCTGTCAAGTCACCAGTCTTCCCTATGACTATATGAACCATAATCTAACATTTCTATAGAGAAATGATCGATGGCAAACGTTTGTCCAAGACGCATTTAATGTTGCAGTTTGATGCTTGCAGAAATTGCCTGCACTGTAAGCAACCATCCTCCACTGCGGAGAGAGAAGTGCTGATCCGAACCAGGCGGCTGTCGACGTTAATTCAATATTTGGAAGCGTGGCCAACATGGACGGAACGGCGTCTTTCACTTCCTCCGCTGCCATCGCTAAAACTACAGATAAACTTCAGTTCTAAAGCGGCGCATAAAATCATTCACAAATCTCCTTCGCTGATTGGTCCAGTCAAACATTCTACTGGAGGGAATCCCCTTTAATGGGAGAAATCCAGACGGAGCAGTGAAGTGAGATTTGAATTTTGTAGGAAGGCAATGACCAGGCTAGCTGTGAGCCACCAAAATCAAAATGATCAGAAATCATGCACATAATTACCCTGAAATGCATGTTTTGGTCAAATTACTGAAATTACCTGATCTTTGAATTTATTGAGATGCACCTGTACTTTCTTTATTCTTTCTGAGCTTAGATGGAAATTTTCATCATTCTGCCCCCTGTCATCTCTTCCTCGCCTCTCTCCCTCTCTGCCTGTGGTCTTTTTCTCCTCCTCTCCTCTCTCTCCTCTCCTCAGATGACCCGCGGGGAGAGTCTTGACTCCCCGTCGCCCTCCATCCTTCAGTCCAGTCGCCAGCCTAGCTACCGCTCGGAGCCCAGCAGCCTGGACGGGGCCACAGTGGTGGGAAGAGGTGTAGGGGTGCGCAGAGGGGGAGGGGACAGGGGTGAGGGCCCTGGGGGCCCCGGAGGGATGGCTGGTGTGGTGTCAGGGGGCGTGTCGGGTTACTCCCTGGCTGGGCGCTCCTACACCTCCTACCCATCTTCGCTGGTTCTGTCCACGGGCGGCTCGCGCTCGTCCAGCCTGCGCTCGGCTCAGACTGTTCATAACCCGCTGGCCACGCTCCAATCGGAGGGCACCACAGACACCAGCTACAAAAGCCTAGCCAATCAGACGCCTCGGAATGGCAGCCTGTCCTACGACAGCCTCCTGACGCCATCCGAGAGCCCGGAGTTTGAGTCCGCCGCCCATGAGCTGTCGCCACAGAAGCCTCACGTTCCCTTCCTGTCGACGGCGGGAGGCGGGCGGCCCGGGGTGGCGCCGCCCGGCGGCCCGCTGCAGGGCTACACGTCGCCCTTCCTCTCAGCTCAGATCGCTCAGCAGAGGGAGGGGCAGCTGTTCCAGAGCTCTACCACTTTCTCCTCCCCCCATAGGGCCTACCTGCGTGCTGTCAGCCCACCCCCGTCCTCCTCCCCCGGGGCTCCTGAAGCCCGCCACCTGCTCCATCACAACCAGGACCTGACTTCCCGAATCCCCCGCAACCCTTCCTCCTCGTCCTCTTCCCCCGGGGCTCGCTCACTAGACCCCCCTGTATCTCCACCGCCTCGCGGCCTCTCCCTCACCAAGTCCCCGGTTCACATAGGGGAGACGGGGTCTCAGCACAAGCCCCGGCCTGCGGGGGCGGGCGCTGTGCTGGGGGGGGGAGGAGTTGGAGGAGGGCAACAGGCTCCACAGTGAGTAGTGATCCGTCATCAGAGTCGTCAGCCTGCCACTCTTCTCCTTTCTCTACTGTTTTTCTTTCCTGGTTTGTGTCAGCCTGTCTCTTCCTTCCTGATCTGTGTGAGTCTTCCTTCTCCTCCTACATAGTTTACATTCAGTGCGTAATTGCTGTAGCTGATTGGGTGTGTTTTCGGAAACGTGATTTTCTTTCAGTAGTTGGAATCTGCAGTTTGATATTTGAAGCATGCCAGTATATTATGTTGATCTCACAGCATGTTGTTCTACTGGTTTCTTTTCCTGTCCTGTGGTCCATTGGGACATTCTGTTGTCTTTACTCACAAAGTACGCCGTGCCTTGCAAAAGACCTCACACGCCTTGAACGTTCTCACACTTGATCATGTTACAACTTCAGTGTATTTTATCAGGATTCTAACTGATAGACCATCACAAAGCCGTGTACAACTGTGAAGTGTTAGAAAATCGACGCATGGTTTCCAACATTTTTTTTTTACAAATAAAAATCTGAAAAGTGTGGCATGCATCTGTTTTTACCAACTTTGAGTCAATATTTTGTAGAACCACCTTTCGCTGCAGATATGTTGGATTATTTCTGTCCTTTCCGCCTGATAAAAACATCTCAAATTTGAGTTTCTCTAAGCATTCATTTTTAAGCCTTGCAACAAATCGTCGTTTTACTCTATTTTTGGGTTTTGACTGAGCCATTCTAACACACAAAAATATTTTAATCCAAACATTGTAGCTCTGGCTATGTTTACGGTGGTTGTCCTACTGGAAAGTGAATGTCGGCCCGTCTCATTTATCTCCATCAGACTTCCCATCACCTCTAATCATCTTCCCTCTCCAAGCCTGAGAAAAGCTTTACTGCTGCATGATTCCCAGATTTACTGTGAGCCATCTTGGCTGCATCTCTGATTATCAAATCAGAATTTATTTTTAAGTCGTTTCTCCCAGCCCCAGTAGGAATATCATTTAGTAACATAACCTGACTTTAAATGTCTCCCTGACTTGACTGCTGTTTGCTATTTAATGTCCTCTAACAAACTGAAGAGCTGATTTTATGAGTTTAAATTACACACAGGTGGGCTGTATTTACGAATTAGATTATAGGGTTCGACCTTTTTATTTTTATTTACAGGAAACAGACTGAAAGTACATGAATACATGTTGGTCTGTTACTTAAAATCTCACTAAAATACATTAAAGTTTGTGGTTTTCAAGGGGTTTAAATACTTTTGCAAGGCATTTTTGATCATCACGTGCATTATAAGTGGTTTGGTGGAGCAACATTTGCTGTTTGAATGTTTTGTGAATTCATAAGCCAAGCTTCTCACCTCTTTCTTTCTGTTTTCTCTCTTCAACCTTCGCCTCTGAATGAACGTCCAATCAGATCCACCTCTCGCCCAGCCTTGGCCAATCACACCACATCCAAACCGGTGGGTGGGGTGAAGAAGGTAACCGGCGTTGGAGGGACCACGTACGAGATATCGGTTTGAGTGACGACAGTCCCGAGTGATCTGTGACGAGGATGGGGGATAAAAAAAACAAAAGTCACATCTTGCACTTGCCTCTTAACCGTAGCTGGATATTATTCATGACTGAACGCCTCTGAGGAACTGTTCTTCTGCTGTGGACTCCAGGAAATGGCTTGTCTGGTACTTGTTTTATCTTTGTAATGGCACGGGCCAATCTTCTCCGCCAGCCTTTCAGGTTTGAACAAAGAGAAACCGGGGACGCTGATTGATCTCTCTCTGGATCAGCTCTCTCCATTTTTGCCACTTTGTGAGCCATAGACTGATGTGACTTGTCATTACGGCTGGGTACAGATATGTCTATCAAACACACATACCTATTCCATGATCTGTTTATGTTGCTTTGCTATGTTAAGACAAAGTATTGACAAAAGTGTCCAACACATTTTAAGGAAAGCTGATGTTAAATTTTAAAAGGAATTGACCAAAAGAAACATCTTGAACGGACCACACATAGATGGATGAGTCCAAGCTATAAACAGTATCATTTAAGTTTTGTATTTTTTTTTTTAAATATTTTATATAAATGTAAAAAAAAAAATCAGATTATTATAGAGAGAAAATGTCAGATATTGAAGATAATGGTGGCAGATGTACTGTATGTAATTAATCATGAAAGCTATTTCAGATCAGTTGCCTGTTTTCTTTTTTGTGACTTCTTTATATTTGATGGCTGCATCAGCCACCTGCAAACTCTTGATGGAGTTTTTCTTTTTTGTTTTTTTTCTTTTTTTGACATCCAAAGATGGAGATGATCCTTGCTGGACACCAGGCGTGGCAAATAATCAAAATTATTTTTTAAGAAAGCCACAGAGAAATTTTAATATCCCCACAGTCGCAGCACAAGCATCGTTGTGGAATGTACGCTTGTAATGTTTATGCTAGAAGCATTATGCAAACTCTGTCTGTAGCTTTAAGATCGTCGTATGTCTTTTTAGTGCGTTTTGTTTTATTTCATTTTCCCTTTTCTGTAGACTGTCAATTAGTTTTGAATGCTAGCGACCATATACTTTTTAACAGATGTTTAGCCAAATAGTGGGCAGAAAGGGAAGGGCTTATTTATTTCACCAGACAGAATAATCTGCACTAATTAAATCAGTTTCGGCAGAATAGTCTGAACATCTTTATATTAAAATGTTTATGCAAGATGCCACTAAATGGAGCAAAGAGAGACTGACTTGCTTTTTTTGTTGTTGATTCGATTGACCATTCGTAGTGATTGGGCATGGGCTGGTGTGAGGTTCTAACGTCATAGCGCAAGCTACAGGTTTCACAGTATTACCACTTCAAACAGATGTATACAATTGGATATTATTTACTTTATTTTAAACTGAAAAGCAATTATTTTAGTTGCTTTGATCTTGATACACACCTAACCTGCAAATCATTCATACCCCTGGCAGATTTAAAATTGAAAATTATTTTTATTTGACTTGAGACGTTTGTTTCTGGTATGAAATGAGACTGGCTAATTTCATAAAATAAAATAAAAAGTAATGGAAAATAAGCAGTATTTACTCACATCATAAAAATGTCAAAAATTACAAAAGTATTTCTTAAACCATACAATTTTTATTCAGCTTTTTGTATGTTTTCAGTAGTATTTTGGTGATTGATCTTCAGTAAAGTACCTAAGTCATTGACGTTGGAATTTTCCCAAAAAAATATTTGCATTCAAAAGAAACATGCTGCTAAAAATGAATACATTTTAAGGTTTAAAGGTTTGATTAAACTGCCTCTCAATTAAGTATTTGTTCTCTAGTAAATGAGCATTTTGTGCAGAATATAATAAGTTTTTAACCTTTCTTCCCTTCATAGAGTAACAGTCTAACAAGCTTAATATAAATTATTCAGGCTGTCTGCTCAGGTAGCTAGCCTCCTGCTTTAAAGACGCTCTGCTCTGAGCTCTGTAGTTTTTGGTTTCCTTAAAAGCACGCAACACTTCATGTTTAAGAATGCAAATGTCTCCAAACAGCGACATGCATTTTTCCTAGAAGTTGGGAAATATTGCATAGTCGTCTTTCAGCCAGCTGACCATCCATCTGCACAGCAACAGATGGATGACTTGATAAACATGAAATAATTTTACCAGTTTTAAGGAGGTTGCTGTTTAAAACGTTGGTTTACCCTCATAAAGTCGACCAGCCCATGCCTAATGGTGACTCCAGCTTGAAAAGTGACTTTGATCTCATTGATTGGCTCATTTATTTTTACTCTTAAAAAAAAAGAAAAAATTAGATGAAGGGAGATGTGTTTGTTGTTCTGGTTTGGGCATCACAGAGTTTTTAATTTATTAAACTGTTTTCTGTTCCAGGCCCATAGCAATGTTTGGAGTAGAATGTCGAAGTGGTGTGAATGTGGCACATCTTTAGGAGGGAAATGAACGCTTTAAGCACATGAGTATGAACTGACCCAAACAACTGTGTTGTGAGTTTCCAACCCAACCAGGCTACATCTTTAGTGTGCATGTGATTTTTTTTAATTTCCTTTTTTTTTTTTTCTCCTGTTCTTGGCCATGCCGACTGCTTCACTTGCGTGCATTCTTGTGTGATTGTCAGTTCCCACCATGCTCACATGCAGGTGACAGAAACCAACATCGTTAATGGCACAAACCTGCGTTACTTCTCACCGCATCGGCCAAAGGTTCACAATCTGGATAATATGCGCGAGTAGCAAGTATACTTCTTCTTGAGATTAAATATTGATATTGTGGGTTGTGACGGATGAAATGAGTTTCACAAATATCTGTAGTGAGTATATGAGATACATTTCCAAAATGGCCTTATAAAGAATTTTTAAGAAGATGTCTTCTCAGAATAAAAGGTCAAACTGTTTAAATAAAAAATGTGACGAGTCTTGTTTTTTGAACATGTTTTTACTTTGGTTTCGTAATGTAACGCAAAAGTAAACGGACAGGTTAACAAATACAGGCAGCAGACATTCACATGCAGCTGTGAAGTTAAACTGAGTCATTTAAAAATTAAGAAAAAAATTCCTAAAAATGTCTACTTAAATAACTTAAACTAATGCTTGGTTTTGGTTCAGTATAACAAACATGTAGCGGTAAGACTTTGTTCATGTTTCAGCTTTTTTTGGGCTTTGATTCTCCCTGGAGTTTGAGTCTGATAGGTGGAGCAGCTTTCAGTACCGCATTCAATTTTTTTGTAAATGCAACACCAGAAATGCAACACCAGAAAAACAAGCGAACCGATCCCGTTTCTTGCTGGATTTCTTCATTGGTCTTTCTTGCTCTCTGTTGACTGTTGCACTTCGCTGGTTTCCTGCTGAAGCTCTTCGCTGCCATCTTCTGTCCGAAAACCGTTCTGCTTCTTGTTCAGCTTCTTGGACTTTTGGAAAAGCTCATTCAGGTTGAACTCTCGAATAATATTCTCCTGGTGAAAGAAAAGAGGTATTCTCGTTAACTTTGTTTTGTATTAGCCAGTCGGGAAAAGGCAGTGTGCATTTACTGTCTTTTAAAAACAACAAAAAGAAAAATAGACAAACCTCATTAAAGGTCCAAGACACAGCTCTCCCTTTGTTGTCCACCATTGGACGTCTCATAACTTCCCGTCCTCCTTGAAAAAGCAGCAGTGATGGCAGCTGCTTAGCCAGAGGAGATGTGCTCACCTTGTACCTATTTTTAAAAAGAATAAAGAGGAACAAATATCTGAAGAAATAATATTGTAGCATCAAGGTGCCAATTAAAAGATAAAAGTCGAAAAATCACCTTTGTGAAACCTCTCCATAGCGACCAATGTCCACCTTTCCAAACCTGAGTCCAGCGCAGTTGTATCTGTACAAAAACAAAAAGAATGAAAATGAGACTAAAGCATGACATTCGATCATTTTATGTTAAAAAATGATCAACAGATACTAGGGATGAAAAATTCTTGTGCATGCCTACATAAACAGGACTTATTTTATAGATAAGGTGATGTTCAATCATCTGAAAACCGAACAAACGGGCTGTAAAAGTTTGCAAAAAATAAAATAAAAATTAAAGGACAAAATGCAAATTTTCTATGAAAGCAGCTATTACAGTAAAAATATAGAGTTTTGAGTACCCATGTATTTGGTTTGCATAAAATGAAGCATTTATGTGAGTGAAAATGCCTCCATTGTAAAATTACAGCTCAGGTCACAAACTCCTAGGGAGAGAAAATTAAATCCTCACTGAAGAGAAAGGTTGGCAAAGACGGGAGCGAAGGACTGGCAGTCAGACGACCAGTTGGCATAAAACTCAACAATCCAGGTGACGCGACCGTCCTTCTGCAGCTCCTCCTGCCGACACAGAAACATGTTGAACAAACAAACCACCAATATTACTATTATGGAGTTCTACATAGTTTAACAATGTTGTGTTCTTACTACATTGCATACAAATACTTTATCACCTCATGAAGATGGGTGTGAAATTGCAGAACTCGATATTTTTCACCGTTTAAGTTTTTAATTTGAATTATAACAGCAAGGTGGTGCTAGCGTACATGAAATAAGACTTATTGGATAAAAAATAAAAATGCTAAAACTCACATCTATGGTTTTGTCACTGAAGTACTTTATGTACTCTGGGCCCATGTAGAGAGGAGGCTTGCACGTCATGACAAATGCTGGAGACGAAGAATGAAACATGAAAACATTTTTATGTGAACACTTATACTAAATAAGTAATAATTCATTCAAAAGTAAAGTAACATGTAACTTCCACTACATGTGTATTTTGTTGCTTGTCTGGGTGAGTGATTCAGCTTTATTTTGCCAAATAAAGGGACGTGTTTGAGTAAATCAGATGTTTTTAATAAAATTCAGGTGAAATAATTAAAGTGACAGAAGTGGAAGGACGGGACATTTTGGGATGAGCTGTTGGGGAAGAAAAATGCCAGAAACCTGGAATTGGTCATATTTAAAATATATATGTTTAAAAGCAGATTGGTAAAATTAAATAT